TGTTTCTGTCTCTGTTTTGCTGTCCCTCCCTCCCCTTCCTTTTCCATACAGTAGCTTCTTTGTATCACCCTCTGCCCCCTCCCCTCCCAGTAACTGCCTGGCATTGTGTGTGTGTGTGTGTGTGTGTTCCCACTGCACCAGGCATGTCATCGGCGTGTCAGAGGCCTATAGTAGTACGTGTCACAGTGGGACATCCCTCCCCACCCAGGGTTGGGCCTCCCCATGCCAACTGTGTAGACACAGGCCCTGACCTGCAGAGGCATGTGAGCTCATGCCAATGTATGGTAGAGCCTCCCAACATGAAGTGTGACTTGCTCCCACTGTCTGAAGGTTTTATACACTAGCCCCATACTGGCGGATAGTTTTGGATTTGTTTGGATAAAGTTGCCCTGTCTTGATGCAATCTTGTGTTGATGCATGTCTTTGTATGTTTGGTAGAAGAGGTTTGGGGAACATGTGTGTCCTAAGCAGGAAAATAGAAACCTGGAGGCCAACAGGTCCAGAGTTGGAAGAGTTGTTAGGTCATCCCTCCCTGGAACCAGTCTGCATAAGGATCAGTGAGTTTCCTAGGTCCCCAACCAGGGAGCTGGCAGAAGGACTTTCAGGGCCTTGGCTTGACCTTACAGAAGGGTTTGAGTGAATATTCTCATAGTCAAGCAGCTCTAGGTGTTCAAAACACATATCTGTGCCCCTGTGGAGGGAGCTGCAGGCGTGAGGTGGGACAAAGTGTTCCTAGCCTGTAGGAGCTTTAAGAATTCTCTGGGAATGGGGCGCTGGGAGTGGGAGGTTTACTTATGGAAATGGGTCTCCTGCTTTCCTTTCCTTCTTGCCTAACTTTAGTGAACCAATGGACTCCAGGGAGGGAGCAGAGGAAATGGTGGGTGAAGCTGAGGTGCATTGTCAATGAGGAATCAGATCTTGGACAAGTCATAAAGGCTTTTTCTGAATATCCTCATTTGTGAAATGAAGACATTGGGCAAGATGATCATTAAAGTTCTCTCCATTTCTAACTTTTCGTTACTTAGGTAACTTGGAATTAGCTTGGGATAACAACTGAGATTGTATGTCTCACTCTTTCCCTAGCTTTCAGGGCTTAGCTTTGCTGGGGGTTGGGGGTTTCACTTGGGAAGCCCTGGGTTGAGAGAAAGGTGGACTCGAGGCCTTCCTAGTAATTTAGCTCTTAGCAAGACTGGATCTCCCCTCTGGTTTGGGGGAAAGAGTAGTGAAGTTGGAATCACATGATCTCAGTTTAAATCCTGGCTTTGCTACTTCTATAACCTCAGACTAACCTTTCTAGACTTTAGCTTCTTTATCTGTAAAATGAGTAGACTGGACTAGATGACCTTAAAAGGTGCTTTCCTGCTCCAAATCTCTGCTGTCTCTTATTTGCCCCTTCATTGGGCCTTCTCGAGGGGAGCCCTCCCCAAGCCAAGTCTACACTTGTCACCCCTCTGCAGGGCTCTGGGAGGTCCCTCATCCTTAATCCATTCTTAGATCAGGCTACTGCCCTTATTAGGGCTGGGCTCTGGGAGTGTAACCTAAGCCCCTGCAGAACATTTAACTCACATACCCATCTCACCACACAGGTGCCCTATACTCTGAGTTATTTTGAGCTGAAGAAGCTTCAGGCTGCCAGAGGATTTGGCTGTCTTCGGGTAGGAGGGCTACGGTAGGATACTCTCCAAGGGGCTAAACTGTTGCTGAGAACTGCCTGGGAATTTTAAACCCCCATGCTTAGATTTTGAGCTAGATGGTGCCTTAGAGGTCATCTAGTCCAACACCCTCATTTTACAGATGAGGAAACTGAGGTCTAGAGAGTTGAAATGCTGTTCCTGGTATGGGGGTGGGGAGGGGAATTTTCCTCCTAGCCACCGAGGCTGGCAATTGGAGAGATAAGGAGGGGTCTTCTCATGGGTGGACAACACTAGTTGCCCACCCTTCAGCACACCAGGCACATTGCCACAATGCCATAGCTATAATAAGGAATATTTTTATCTGGAGAAAAACAGTTTCCCCAGATAAAGATATTCTTTATTTCATGGGGAATGGAGTTGAGGTAATGATGGCATAGAGAGTGCATCTGTGATATAAAAGAAGGATGCTCTGGAATCTCCCAAAGGAGTTGTATCATGGCAGAAGGATGCTGGGCGTGTGGGGATGGCCTCAGGTGATTTTATTGGGTGGCAGGGGACCACAATTGCCCAGGAGAGGAAGCTCCTTAGAAGTTGGTGCCTAGGGGCAAAGTCTCATTCATTTCATCTCAGTTATGAGTCTGTACCAGGGGCCAAGGCCACAGGTTCCCCACCCCTGGTACAGTGCCCGAATTTTGGGCTTAGGCTACTGCTTCCTCTCCCTTCATGTCCACCTCAAAAAAAAAAAGGTAGCTAGCCTTCATTTTCTAAGTCTTATGTCCTGGCCTTGGGGAGTTAACCATTGGGCCATCCACATGGCAACACATGTGGAGCCAGGGGAATGGAGGGACTGTTTGCTTTGAGAGAAGAGGTGCTAGTGATAGTGATGATGCCTCTGAGGTATACCTCTGACACTCCTCAGTTCCGTGGAGGGTGTCCCTGAGGCAGAGTAGATGGGCACTCTCAGTACCAGGCCTAATCTGTCTGTCTCTTTTTCTTTTGGGGGGGAAATCTATCTTTCCTCAAAGTTGGGGTTAGGGAAGATTCAGGAAGATAATATGTCCCACTAGGGAAGCCTGATTCTTGGTCTGGCTTTGGCTAGAGGGTGAGGTGGGTGGGTTGGAGAACAGAGAAGACCTATCTCTCCAAGGGATCTTTCTCACCTTTTTCTTTTATCTTACAGCCTGAAGAGTTCAGCAGGCCGAGCTCAGCAGAATGGAAAGTAGGTGCCATTCCTTGACTTTCTGACACCTTTGCTTGCTGTGTGACCTTTCCAGGCCTCAGTTTTTTCATCTGTAAAATAATGGGGCTGGGCCAGATTGCTTCTAAGGTCCTTTGTAGAGCTAACATTCTGTAGTGCTGAACTTTTTACTCTCTGTGGCTTCTTAACCACTCTATTTAATCATTCCCTGGAATGAGGCAGTCAAGTCCATAGATCCAGAAAAGGGGAGGCAGTCTGATACAGTGGAAAGAGTGAACAGGACTTAGGAAATGTGGGTTTTGTTTCTGACTCTGTCCTTAGCCTGCTGTGTGACCTTGGGGAAATCACCTTACCTCTCTGGGGCTTAATTTTCCTAGCTGCAAAGTGAAGGGGGTGGACTAGATGATTTCTTTAAGAGCCCTTTTAGCTCTTACTCTATGAGTGTCTGTGTGGTGACAAGAGGCACATCAGGAGAGAGATGGGATATCATGGGCCACCATTGGGTCTCGCTTCTCCGGGCTTTCCTTCTACCTTTGAGATCCTTGGCTCGTGGAAAACTAGCTCCTGGGAGTGGGGAGGGGAGAGAGGAGATAGGATGGCTTCTTTGCCATGTGTTCCACAGGGGCAAAGTTAATTTTAGAAACTGTGATTAGGAGACCTCTCAGTGTCTCCTGGGAACTCAACTCCCCCAGGGCCCACCTCCTCCAGATAGTATTTATAGACTCTGCTCCTTCTCTGGCAAAAGGGGGAAAGAAGAGAGACAGGGACACAGAGACAAGAGACACTGAGACTTGAAAAGAGAAAGTCACTTAGAGGTTTAGACAGAGAGTTCTGATGTGCCTCCTCCCATCTCACTAGAGTGCATCCCTACCCACATTCCCCAGCAGGACCACGTGCTTTGCCAAGGAGGAGTTGGGCTGGCCTTACCTCCCTCACTCTAGGCTCTGGGCCTAGGACCAGATGAGACTCTTAAAGGAGCCACAGTTTTTCCCATTGCTGTTGTGTCTGGTCCATCTTGAATACGGTCTTCATTTACAAAAGTCTGTTCTGTTAGCTCCTGGACTCACAAGAAAAATCCATCTTACTCCCTCTCTGCCTCCATGTGCATCTCCATTAGTGAGGGGAGCACAGGAGTAATGCAGAGATTATAGTTTGAGCACATCATTGAATCTCTCTGGGCTCCAAGGATCATAAAATTACAGGGCTAAGAGCTAGAAGGCACCTTAGAGATGACTTCGTCCAATCCCCTTTTTTTACAGATGAAGAAACTGAGGTCAAATGACTTGCCTAAGGTCACACAGATCGCAAGGAGCAGAGCTAGGATCTGAAGTCAGATCTTTTGAATGTAAATCTAGTACTCTTTCCACTATACTTCACTACCTCAATTTCCCCAAATGTAGAATAGGAATTTTAGGGAGTATTGTGAAGATGTCAGGATAATGGATATGAAAGCACCTTGACCCTCATGCCCGTGTTGTACAAACAAATATAAGGGATGTGAGTTAATGGGTTCTTACGTTGCATCTGCAAAAGCTGAGTGTCCAGAAAGAATGAGGCAATCATTCTGTTGTGCTCACACAGAACCTCCAGAGTCCTGGAGATTACTTTACCTACAAGAAAAATCGGTTTTCTTCTTCCTTGATTACATTCAGCAACCCCAGTCTGTGGTCCTCATGACCTACCCTTCTGGCATCTCTGGGTAGGATCTGTAGTCCCAGAAAGGTGGTGCGATTCCTCCTGCCACCCAGGAAAGGATAGGACTCCGAAAGTCAGAAAAGCATTTCTGCTGACAGCATGCCCAGCCCCTCCCCCAGGCTTAAAATTCTAGAATGTTAAAATTAGGAAGTGCCCTTAGTGGTCAGCTCATCCCGACACCTGGGCTATTGGACACTATGCTACTGCCTGCAGTTCTGCTAGATTATACACTTAGAGTTGACCTGCTGAGAGGAAGTCCTTGGCACTGTGGCCTGAGAAGGGACCTCAGTTGGCATTAGATCCTCTGTTTCTTGAAGACTGTAGCTTTAATTCTTGTGTCCCTGCCCACCTCAACACAGAGACCACAGAGTTAGACTGGGCCTAGGGCCGAGGTCCTCACCACACCCCTCTATTGCCCAGCAACTGTTTCTATGGGAACATGTGTTGTGGCCTGCCAACATCTCCCTCTACCTCACCCTTCCCACAAACTGGGCAATACTGGAGGGGCTGAGGCAGGGAGGGGAATGAGCCCAAGCCCTGGCATAAGAACCTAGTGGGGGTTGGGGAGAAGAGGGATGGGCAGAGAAAAGGGCCGTGAGTTTAAGGGAAGTGCTGAGGAGCTGGGAATCGAGATCAGGACATGGGGTGCTGCTTCTCTGAGGAAAGCACCAAAGTAGTTAACGCGGCAAAAGGTATCCTCGGCCCCTTTTCTGTGGTGTTGGTCTGGCTACCACCTTGCTATTGCCCCCACTCTCACCAAGACGTTCGCCCTTCCCACTGTGCTTCTGTCTGACTTCTTTTCCTTTCCTCATCCACAGAGAAACTGAAGAATAGCAAGATCATCTTTGTGGTGGGTGAGTTGGAGGACTGTTGGATTGGGAGGCTGGGGCTGTCTGTACACAGGCTGGGCTCTTCCCTCACAATCCCACCAAGGCTATGTGTGCACAAGGAGCTTGGGGGTGAAGTGGGGAGATGGACACGGCAGTCTCATGGACTTGTACTGGGTTGAGAGTCCAGAGAACTGAGTTTCTTCCTTCCCTCTTTCCTTCCTTCCTTCCTTCCTTCCTTCCTTCCTTCCTTCCTTCCTTC